GATCCCTTTTTCTGTCTGACCATCCATCTCTTTGTGCACATGCATCCCTCCATCTTCCCACCTGTCACTTCCCTTCCTCTGTCTCAATGCCCCCATTCCTCCCTCCATACCTCTGTTGCCCATAAATTGTCCGTTTCTTTTTGACAGTATCCTTTGCCAGCCCATGATATTGTTGTTGGGCGAACTGGTGCTTACGTCATTGAGCTGCAGCAGGGGACAAAGTTCTTTTTTTCTGCAGTCTTTAACAGATAAGTTGTTTATGCTGATTGCTTGCTTGGTGCGTGTTTAAGAGAGAGCTTGTTTATGCTGATTGCTTGCTTGCCTCTCTTGTATCAGAAAGGAAGCACCCAATTCCGGATAGTATTTGGCTGCTGAACCAACAGTGCACTGGTCAAATGCTCCTCATCAGTTGTGGTTCTTCCGTCTCCTCCTTTTCGGATAACCACGTGTTGTCACCATTGCAGGTTTATGATAACGTTGATGCCGAGCTGAAACTCAATGATGTGGTGGAGTTCATAGGGATCTTGACTTTTGATCCTGAGCTGAGTGCTGCTGGATTTTCAAGAAATGGACGAGGTGTGCAATCTGGAGGAGCAGCAGCAAGCGGCATGTGTGATGGTGATGATGTTGATGGTCACTCTAATATGATCGTAGTTGACGAGGACATGCTGGTGGATGATGACAACTTTGCAGTTCATCTCCCATACAGCAAGGTGGGTTTCTAAACCGAATTCCTGTGTTTGCTGAAGCATTGGTGCGAAAATGAGAGCCCAGCTGGTTGTAGACTCCTGACGAAGTTTTGGCCGAAAGGTCATTTCGAGATTCTCAGTCAAACCCACCCATCCCACAAGGTGCCAACCAGCCCACATGGTACCACCCAGCCCACATGGTACCGCCCAGCCCACATGGTACCACCCAACCCACATGGTACCACCCAGCTCACATGGTACACCACCCGGGTACCACCTAAACCACATTGTACCACCTAGCCCACATAATATCACCCAGCCAACGTAGTAGCCCACATCGTACTGCCCAGCCCACATATGACCACCCAGTACAGATTATACCATCCAGCCTGCATGGTCCGACCTCTCCCACATCGTACTACCGACCCACGTAGTACCAGGTGCCCCACAAAGTACCACCCAGTGCAGATAACACCCAGCTCACATACTACTGCCCAGCCGACGTAGTACCACCTCGCACACATGGCAACCAGCCAGTATAGGGCAAGGGTTTTGCATAGCACTGAGCCCACATTGTGCCACCCAGCAGACATAGCACCCACCCCACATATGTTCACCCGGTGCACATAGGCCCCAAGCCACACAGCACACGGCACACGTAGTGTCAGTTTGTGAATTTGAAAACACGGGCTCAACTCCCGTTATTCGCCTCTTGCATCTGAACTCTGGCGAGCCCCCTGCAGAGCACCATCCAATGCATACAGCACAACACCCAGGCATGTTACCACCCAGTGCACATAGCACCTGGCCCATATGTGACGGAGCAACTCTGCTGACGAGCCCGTGGGATTCAGACGCGAAGCCTCTGCTCTTTGAGCCTTTGCCAAGGTGGAGATGAAACGGTTTTCAACTCTTAGCAGTAGCGGATGCAGTACTGTTACATACTTCAATGAGTATGGGCAGAACCAAAGATCAACCAATGTAGGATGAACATATATGCAGCGGAAGTCTGATAAACGGACTGACTCACATAGAC